GTATATAAAAGTGTTCCTTTCTCTTTGATCCACACTCGCATCTGTTGTTTTGAGACTTTTGATAAAAAAAAAATTCTCATTGGAGTTGGTAATAACCTCACTGTGGTTTGGCTTTACACTTCCCTGATGATCAGAGACACTGAGCATTTTTTCATGTTTATTGGCCATTAGCCTATTTTCTTTTGAAAAGCTTCTGTTATGTCTTTTGCCCACATTTTTATGGGGTTGATTTTTTTTCTTGCCAATTTGCTTGAGTTCTTTATAGATGTTGGTTATCAGCCCATTATTAAATATACAGCACACAAATATTTTCTCTCATTCTGTAGGTTGTCTATTCACTCTTTTGTTTCCTTAGCTGTAAAGAAGCTTTTTAATTTAATCGGGTCCCATTTCTTAATTTTTATCATATCTGTGATTGCCTTTAGGATCTTCTTCATAAATTCTTTGCCTAGGCTGGTATCTGTAAGAGTTTTTCCAACATTTTCTTCTAGAATTCTTATAGTTTAATGCCTTAGGTTTAAGTCTGTTATCTAACATGAATTAATTTTTGTGAGTGGTCAAAGATGCAGATCCATTTCAATTTTCTACATGTGGCTATCCACTTTTCCTAGCACCACTTACTGAGTAGGGATTCTTTAATGAAAACTGCAAATTTATGGGCTACAGTGTGCTAATTTGATATACAATGTGGAATGGTTACATCAAACTGATTAATATAACCATCACTTCACTTGTTATGATCATTTATACTTTTCAGCAACCTCAGACTCCTAGGCCCAAGCAATTCTCTTGCCTCAGCCTTCCAAGTAGCTGGGACTACAGGTGTCTGCCACAATACCTGGCTATTTTATTGTTTAGCTGGCCCGGGCTAGATTTGAACCCAGCAGCCTCTGTGTAGGTGGCTGGCACCGTAACCACTATGCTAGGGGTGCCGAGCCATGTTGTGGTTATTTATACTCCTAATAGATGTGAAATGTACCATTGCATTGTGTACAACAGGTGAGGTCCCACCAAATACTCTCTCCTCTTCCCTTCTTCTTTCTGGACTATAATTGTATTTTATCATTCATATGAATGTGTAGGTGATTATATATTGGTTTCATAAAAGTATTGAGTACATTGGGTCCTTTTTTTCCCTAGTCTTGAGATACTCTACTAAAAAGAATATGTTTCAGTTCCATCTAGGTAAACATACAAGATGTAAAGTCTCCATCCTTTTAATGGTTGCATAGTATTCCATGGTATGTATGTGTGTGTATATTATATTATATATACACACACACATATATCACAATTTTTAATCTATTCATGGGTTGATGGGCATTTTGGCTGCTTTCAAGACTTGCCAATTATGAACTGGGCTGCAGTAAACATTCTGGTGCAAATGTCTTTGTTGTAAAATGATTTTTGATTGTCTGGGTAGATACCTAGTAGAGGAATTGCAGGATCCAACATTACGACTACTTTTAGTTCCTTGAGAATTCTCCAAACTTCTTTCCAAAAAGACTGTATTAATTTGCAATCAGATCAGCAGTGTATAAGTGTTCCCTTCTCTCCACATCCACACCAGCATCTGTAGTTTGGGGATTTTGTGATGTGGGCTGATCTTACTGGAGTTAGATGATAATCTCAAAGTGGTTTTGATTTGCATTTCTCTTATGATAAAAGATGAGCATTTTTTCATGTGTTTGTTGGCCATTCGCTTGTCATCTTCAGAGAAGTTTCCATTCAAGCCTCTTGCCCACAAAGAAATGGGGTTTTCTCTTATTGATTAGTTTTTTTAGTTTGATCAGAACCGAGTAATATATTTTTGGTGTTGCTTCAATTGCCAGAGGAATCTTCCTAAAATATTCCCCCAGGCCAATTTCTTCAAGTGTTTTCCCTGCACTCTCTTCTAGTGTTTTTATAGTTTCATGTCTTAAATTTAAACTTTTATCCAGTGAGAATCAATTGAACAGGGTTTTTACCTGTGTATGTTATTGTCTGTTTTGTCTCAGATCAGATGGAATATGGGGATGGTTTTATGTCTGGCTTTTCTGTTCTGACCCATTAGTCTATGTCACTGTTCTTGTGCTTTATAATCTTAAAGAAATTATCCAAACCTACACCTAAAGATGACCAAAGTAATTGAACATAGGGATATTTACACTTGGTCTATAATGGTTGTAGGATTATGGGTGATTTCTTTTCCTTTTGTTGTATTTTATTCAGTAATGTCCTCATGGTAATTTGACAAATCAAGCAATCAGGGGCTGGGCACAGTGGCTCACATCTATTATTCTAGAACTCTGGGAGGCCAATATGGGAGGATCACTTGAGTTCAGTTTGAGACCAGCCTGAGAAAGAGCCAGATCTATCTCTACCAAAAATAGAAAAAACTAGCCAGGCATGGTGGCCCACACCTGTAGTCCCAGCTACTAGGGAGGGTTGCAGTGAGCTATGATGACATCCCTGCACTCCTACCCTTGGTGACAGAGGGATAATGAAAAAAAAGGAAAAAAACAATCAGGAACAGTTATGTCTAAAAGGCTTTTGAGGAAGTGAGAAACAAGAGATAAAAATGGCCTATATGAGAAACAGGAGATAAGAATGGCCTATATGGGTGGGAAAGGGACTTGAAGAGAAACTTCTCTGAAGAAGACAGGTACACAGCCTATAGACACATGAAAAATGCTCATCATCCTTAATCATCAGAGAAATGCAAATAAAAACTACTATGAGATATCATCCAACTCCACTAAGATAACCCACATCACAAAATCCCCAAACCAGAGATGTTGGCGTAGGATGTGGAGAAAAGGGAACACTTATACATTGCTGGTGGGAATACAAACTAATACGTTCCTTTTGGAAAGATGTTTGGAGAACACTTAGAGATCTAAAAATAGACCTGCCATTTCATCCTACAATTCGTCTACTAGACATATATCCAGAAGACCAAAAATCGCATTATAACAAAGATACTTGTACCAGAATGTTTATTACAGCCCAATTCATAATTGCTAAGTCGTGGAAGAAGTCCAAGTGCCCATCAACCCATGAACAGGTTAATAAATTGTGGTATATGTATACCATGGAATATTATGCAGCCTTAAAGAAAGATGGAGACTTTACCTCTTATATGTTTACATGGATGGAGCTGGAACATATTCTTCTTAGCAAAGTATCTCAAGAATGGAAGAAAAAGTATCCAATGTACTCAGTCCTACTATGAAACCAATTTATAGCTTTCTTAGGAAAGCTATAATCCAATTATAGCCCAAGAAGAAGGGGAAAGGGAAGAGGGAGGAGAGGGTGGGAGGGAAGGGGAGGATGGGTGGAGGGAGGGTAATTGGTGGGACCATACGTATGGTGCATCTTATAAGGGTACATGTAAAATTTACTAGGTGTAGAACATAAATGTCTAAACATAATAACTAAGAAAATGCCGTGAAAGCTATATTAACCTGCTTGATGAAAATATTTCAAATTATATATAAAACCAGCACATTGTACCCCGTGACTGCATTTATGTCCAAAGCTATGATTTAATAAAATAAATGGCCTATAAGTGTTCTTCATAAACAAACTAAGACACACAAATATTACAAATAATAGTGCAAACACCTTCATTCATTTAACCCTTCTCAGAAGTGAAATAGTTCCCATATTTTTATTTGTTGAACTTTCTTTTTTGAGTTGTGTTTATGTATTCTTTGTGTCTATTGTGTGTATCTTTTATTGGTATTCCTATACATATCCACATCCACTGATAAACCACTGTGGTCACAACCATACTTTTCCTTGTCTACCTTTCACTCTTTATAGAGGCAACTAATCCCTTAGTGATCAAATTTGTTCATTGTTTTCCCCTCTTTGTGACTTCTATCCTTAGTGCTTAAAGTCATCCCTTACTCCCAATTCAAAAGTTTAATATTCATAATTTTAATTTTTATAATTCACATGGAATTCTGAATATGGCATGGGGTAGGCATTTAACCAGTTTCCTCACACCATCTGTTGAATATGCCTTTCATTTTCATATGTGATGACTCATTTATTAACTAAATTCCTATAATAATACATTGGAAATGTGTCATTATCATTTAGGTGAATAACTTTCGAAATTGATCATTTTTGACCAGGTGTGGTGGCTCACACCTGTAATTCTAGCATTTTGGAAGTGTGAGGCAGGAGAATTACATACCCAGGCGTTAGAGGTTACAATGAGCTATGATGACACCACTACACTCTAGCCTGTGAGACAGAGGGAGAGTCTGTCTCAAAAAAAAAAAAAAATCCCTGATCATTTTGTCTTCAATATTTACAATTTACTTGTGTTTTTGTTTGGGTTTATTCACTTAATGGTTTATTAAGAACTTCTCAAATTCCCAGTATAAGTTCAAGATATATAATGGTGAATGGAGAAAGGGTTCTTTTCCTTATTCTTAAAATATGAAGCAAAACATATGCCAAGAGTGAACAGCAATTTTTGTTGATAAATGAATTTGATTTTCATTACCACATCTGTGTATTAATATATTAATATTTATGTAAGACATTTTGTTCACTGCATTGGTTTCACAAGACACAATAAAAGTTTCAAAATGTAAGGGTTGAGAACTATGATATGCAACAAAGAAAAATTAAAGTGCTGTTAGAAAACTTGGGGGAAATGTGTTTCATCCTTTATTTTCAAGGAAAGTCTATATATTATAAAAACAAACATTTGTTATGCCATTGAGTACAGAGCTCACGTTGCAAACATTTAACCATTTTCATCACCCATCTGATCTAAAATCAAAATCACTTTTAGAGGAGTAAGTCTTCTGTTTCATGAAAATCATGTTATCACATTATAGTGATATACTTCACTACTGTTTTCAAGACTCAAGTAAAAATGAGACACAATTTTTAACCAAAAGTGTATCATATCTTATTGCTTGTTTTAAGCACTATACTAAGACTTAGTATTTAGACATGAATCATGTCTAAACCCCTGAAGAATACACTAGAAATAAGACATTTAGAATGCTTTAATGTTTCCAGTTAACACCGGTTAAAGTTTAGTAACTGCAATGCTGTAACTTTTAGCATCTCATATAACTAGTCAGTAAGAATTTGTTTAAGGGCGGGAGTGTGAACAGAAGGACATTCAGAGCTATGAGAATGTCAGGTTTCATACTTCTGTTAAAAACTCAAAAATCAAAACTATTTTCTTCTCTGCATCGAAACTGTACCACAGACGTGATGGATGTTCTAGCTTTAATCCCATGACTCATCATCTACTGGATTGGGAGCTTGTGAAGAAGAAAACCCTGCTGTGTTCAAAGTGCTCTTGCCCTGGAAATTCTTTAAAAAAGAAAGAAAAAAAAAAGGAAATATTTAATTTTATGATCACTTTAAAGTTATACTACCCATAATGAGAGCAGGGACTCAAGCTTTCCATGATACTTTCCCCAAATTATATACAGAACTTCATTCTCATTAAATCTGATTCATTTGAAAAAAGGCCCTTATCAAAGCAAAAATCTAAATTGTGCAAAATATTTCCAGAAAAAGATTTAAGCCATTAGTTTGGCAACCAGGAAAAAACATGCTACACTTCAATGAAGAACCATAAATATTTAACCAGTATGTTCATTGTTTCTGTATAAAGGTGGTACTGCCTATAAAAACTGACGTTATTAGAAAAGACTTACAGCCCCATAGCTCCTGTATTGTATTTTCTTTTAATATGGTCAAATTTTTTAAATTAAAGAATAAAAAGGATAATTTGGGAAAGGAGGACGTTTGAGCATAAATCTCAAAGCCAATTCCTCACCTTTAAAACCAAAAACAGGCCAGCCTGGAGGCTGACATCTGTAATCCTAGCACTCTTGAACAACAGCAAGACCCTGTCACTACTAAAAATAGAAAAATTATCTTGGTATGGTAGTGCAGGGCTGTAGTCCAGCTGCTCAGGAGGCTAAAGCAGGAGGATCCCTTAACTCCAGGAGTATGAGGTTGCAGTGAGCTCAATGACACCACTGTACTCTAGCCCAGAAAACAGAGACTGATGTCTCAAAAAAAAAAAAAAAAAAAAAAGAAAACCACCAAAAACCTAAGTAGATAAAATTTTAAAGAAACAAATAAATTAGCTACCTTCTAGGCATGATGACAATGGTTTAAATTATTTAGTACAGTTACTTCACAATATCAAGCACAACATTTATAAAAAATAAGTGGAAGCCAAGTTCTGAACTTTTCCCCTCAACTAACCTTCCTAGTGTCAACTGATGCAAACACATTTCCTCTTGTACTACCAGTGAAGCCAGGGACGTAAGTACTGAAGGCAATTTCTTCCAACCATGCAGGAACATCCTGCTGAGCCTTAAAAACAAACAAACAAAAAACTTCATACGCAGTGTAAAATCTCAAAGATTAGAAACTCTGCTTTTTATATTCATATACATAAAATGTCTACATTCAGTGATAAAATAAGAACACCATCCATTCAGTTTTAAAATTATGAAACTTACATCTGACAACACTTTCACTAGAGGCTGTGCTAAATGATTATCTGATTCGGGATCAAAAAAGGAAATAGCTCTGCCAGTATTCCCACAACGACCAGTACGCCCAATTCGATGAACATATTCATCAATGGTAGAAGGAAGATCAAAATTGATGACATGTTGAACATTTTCAATATCCAGCCCTCTGGCAGCTACTGAAGTAGCAACAAGAACTGGGCACTTTCCACAGCGAAAATCTCCAAGAGCCTGCTCTCTCTCTCTCTGTTCCCGATCACTTGAAAGAAAAGCAAGCATGTATTAGGACCACTCTCAAGAAAATCATTAAAGAAAAATCAGTGAAGTTCAACATATAAATTTCTTTTTAATAATAGTAGAAATAGCATTTAATATTAATGTCTTCTCACATAACAAGTACTTACAGTTCCTTCCAAATCCCCATTTTATTTTATTCTCCCAGTAACACTGAGTTGTAGTAATTATCCCCTTCTGCAGATGAGGTAAGAGCCAATTCATACAGCCAGAATACAAACTCAAGGATGACAAATGACAGATCTTACCTAATAATCACTATGCTTTCTAGTCATGCCAAAAATATACACAACCACATGATTAGAATGCTTGCTCAAAAAATAGTTTTAAGTATCATTTTAGAACTCTATGTACTAAATGATTAGAATTTTTAGATCCACTAATGTGCAAAGAGTTGTGTTAATATGACATTTTTAAGCACTCCAATAAAAAAAGTCCAGCATCAGAAAGAGTAAACAAAGGAAAAATTTAAGACATAAGGATCAGATGCTCTTTAAGTGAGATGTCTTGGGAAGTTCTTACTCATGATAAGGCAAACATTTATCTTGCCACTACCCATCACTTTGTTCTTCTAAAAACTAAGAATAAAGATGGAGAAAAGCCATTTGATCCTCTCAGGTATTGCTTCTTCCTTTGGGAAGGGGAGAATAATAGTTTAGATCTTGAGAGAATTCTGAACCCTAATCCTAGGATTGTATCATATTAGTTATATAAACTGAGGTGTCTTTTTTTTTTTCTTTGCAGTTTTTTGGTTGGGGCTGGGTTTGAACCCACCACCTCTGGTATATGGGTCCGGTGCCCTACTCCTTGAGCCAGAGGTGTCACCCATAAACTGATGTGTCTTAAAATGCCAAATAGAAGTCATTCTACTATGAAATCATATTAATCTACTCACCCGTGAATACTTGTAGTTGATATTTTTTCCTGACAAAGAAAAGTTGCAATAAAATCTGCTTTTTTCTTAGTTTCAACAAAGACCATAGTTCTTTCCTCGCCTACAAAACAATGAAATTATTAACATTTAAAGTACAAAATAAGGAAAGGAGAGGGGGAGAGGGGAGAGAGTATTCGAATAGGAAACTGTGCCTCATTCACTGCTGTACTTGTATTATTAGCACCCGAAGGTAGGCCTGGGGCCTGGTACATGAGGGGAATTCAAATGTTTTCTGAATGCATGTCAAAGATAGAGAAAAAGACATTTCCAGTGAAGTGATTTTTTTTTAGAAATTAGCTTTTCCTTTCTCCTCCCAGGCCAACACTAGGAAGTAGAGATTTAGGGGAAGGTAAATGTTATCTATCGGCCAGCTCTTTAGTAGTTTCAAATTTGTCTCAGTCCCTTTCTCTGCTCCATCTGCCCCTCCATGAATGTCCTTGTTCTATACCTCCCAAGATAAGCCAGTCTTTCATTCTGTCTTGATTGCCCCAGATGTTCATAATAATGGTATCTCACCTGGAGCTGCTGAACTCTATAATCCACGTTCCAAACATTATCTCTTAATTCAAATTCCTTCATTCCCAAAATATACATATTTAAAAAATTAAATAACTTTATCTCATTTAGGGTCTTAACTCATTTAGGAGTACTTACTTCTTAGCTTAAAGTATTTAAGTATTAGTAAAAATTTAAGCATGGGCCAAAGATTTTTCCACACAGAGAATTTCCCTATGAAATGTTAGCTAGGATAATGTATAAGTAAGAGTAAAAGCATATTACTGTTCATTGGCACTCTCTCCTCTCTCCCCATCAGCTTATTTCATTCATTTACTCAACAAATACTTAGTGCCTATTAAACACACTATTCTACGTGTTGGAAATACAGAAATAAAGCATCTGCTCTGACAGGAGGTAAATAATAAACATTATGCATTAAGACCTAAAAAACAAACAATCAGCAGGATAAAGGGTCCAGAGAAGGTTACTGTAGATAGGGTAATCAAATGGTATTCGAGGAGAAATCTAAACAGTGAACTGTGAAGGTATGGGCATTCCAAGGCAAAGAGAAGAATAAGTATAGAAAAAGTATAGAATGAGGCTGAAACATGGTGTCCTCATGTTCATAAAAAAAACAGAAAAGAGGCCCTCATGTGGCTTCTACATTCAGGGCACACAGAAGAGTAAGTAAAGGCATGAGGTAGAAGTGTGTGTGTGGTATATGTAAGGAACAGATGTGAGTGAAGTGTGGCTGGAGTGCGGGGAGCATTAGGAGATGAAGTCAGAGGATTTGAAAGCCATTAAAAGAACTGCTTTACTCTGAGAAGGGAAGCCATAGGTTTTGAGAAAAGTCATGATCTTATATTGTTTTAACTGAGCAGTTAACCGATTCTAGATACATTCTGATAGCAGAACCAAAAGGATTTTGCCAACAGATCAGATGTGTAGTTAAAGAAAGAGATCAAAGGTGACTAAGATTTTGTGCCTGAGCAACTAGAAGAATGGAATTAACATTAGCTGATACAGGAAGACCACGAGAAATAATGGTTTTAGAGGTGGTATTTAAGTCTCAGACATTATTCGATAGATAACCAAATAGCAAAATCAAAAAGGCAATTGGCTCGACAGTATTGAATTAAATCTTTGAGTCATGGTCATTTTGTACTTATTTTAAAATGATGATCTTATGTTTTTAACTATTTCCAACAGTTTGAGGTCATCTGAGGAGAGACCCAATCAAAATTGATTTATCTGACAGAACCAGGTACCAAAAAAAAAACACTACCAAGAGCTTAAGTCTTGGTTCATCTTTTCTTGGTTCCTAGTGTGAATCCCAAGTAGCAATAAAAATTTACTTCTGCTGACTCAAATTCTCTAGTTTTTTTCTTCTCTAGTTAAAACAATATGCTATTTTCCATTGGTGGCAGCAATGGCTATAAATTTAGTTTTCTTATCAGACTATTTGGTGATCTCTGTAAATGGATTAATTATATTTTCTGTTAGGTAAGAAATGACAGAAAATCAATTTTGTTAGTCGTTATTACTTTATTTTTCCATTGTGAGATAAACTGAATTAAGAATCTAAAAATAGGCTCGGCGCCTATAGCTCAACCGGCTAAGGCGCCAGCCACGTACACCTAAGGTGGCAGGTTCGAATCCCCAGCCCGGACCTGCCAAACAACAATGACGGCTGCAACCAAAAAATAGCCGGGCATTGTGGCAGGCGCCTGTGGTCCCAGCTACTTGGGAGGCAGAGGCAGGAGACTCGCTTGAGCCCAGGAGTTGGAGGTTGCTGTGAGCTGTAATGCCATAGCACTCTACCCAGGGGGACAGCTTGAGGCTCTGTCTCAAAAAAAAAAAAAAAAAAAAAAGAATCTAAAAATAATTCAAGATTGATTATAAGTTGTTGGGGTTTTTTTTGAGACCAAGTCTCACTTGTGACCCTGGGTAGAGTGCTGTGGCATCATTGTAGCTCACAGCAACCTCAAAATCCTGGGTTCAAGAGATCCTCTTGCCAACTACAGGAAACTGCCACAATACCTGGCTAGTCTTTCTATTTTTAGTAGAGACAGGGTCTTGCTCTTGCTCACACTGGCCTCAAATTCTTGATCTCAGACAATCCACCTGCCTTGGTCTCCCAGAGTGCTAGAAATTACAGATGTGACTCACTGTGCCCAGTCATTCACAAGCATTTTGACCAGTGTTTTTCTTGAGGGTAAAAACATTCTAAGGGATGCGCCCATAGCTTAGTCAGTAGGGCGTCAGCCACGTACACAGACACTGGTGGGTCGAAACCCAGCCCAGGCCTCCTAAACAACAATGATAACTCCAACAAAAAAGTAGCCAGGTGTTGTGGTGGGCACCTGTAGTCCCAACTACTTGGGAAGCTGAGAGAAGAGAATCACTTAAGCCCAAGAGTTGGAGGTTGCTGTGAGCTGTGATGTCACAACATTCTACTGAGGGCAACACAGTGAGACTCTATCTCAAAAAAAAAAAAAAAAAAAATTCTAAGACCAGTGAAGAGAATTTACAGATCATCAGGAACTTACATAAAGTATATGTTTTTTAAATATATAGTTTGAGTATTCTTTTCCAAAATGCTCAGGATCAGAAGTGTTTCAATTTTAGATTTTTTTCAGATTTTGGAATATTTGCAGTATGTTCACTCACTGAGCACCCCAATCTGAAATGTGAATTTGAACCAATCCAATGCAGGTGGATTGTTTGAGTTCAGAAGTTTGAAACCAGCCTGAGGAAGGAGACCCTGTCTCTACTAAAAATAGAAAAACTAGCTGGGTATAGAGGCACACACCTGTAGTTCCAGCTACTTGGGAGGCTGAGGCAAGAGGACTGCTCAAACCTAAGAGTTTGAGGTTGTTGTGAGCTATGGTGCCATGGCACTTAGGGCAACGGAGTGAGACTCTGTCTCAAAAAAACAAACAAGCGAGAAACCACTCATGAAGTATCTCTAGCATCTTCCTATACCTTTCTGAAGGTATGTTGATTGATACAACAGTATAGTGTTGTTAGTCATAATTTCACTTATTTAAAATGTTTCTATGTCTATAACTTTATTTCTCTCCTTAATTGAACCTAGCATCTTCTTCCAATGGTTTTCTTCCACTTATATGTGGCATTTCATAAAAATATAGATCTCTGGACCCTATTCTACACTTACTGCCTCTACATACTTTGGTATAAAAGTACTACTTTGTGGTATAAAAAAATTATGTCTACTTATTGTCAGAAATCAGGTTACTTCTTTGAAAATATTCAATCATCTGAGTTATTTTGTTTAAAAAGGTTTTTGGGGGGGAAAGGCCAGGCATGGTGCCTCACACCTATTAATCCCACTGACTCAAGAGGCTAAGGCAGGAGGACTGCTTGAGACCAGAAGTTCAAGAGCAGCCTGGGCACCACAGCAAGACTCTTTCTCTAAATTTTTTTTTTAATTAGCCAGGCATGGTGGCATGCACTAGCTACATGGGAGGCTGAGGCAATGAGATCATTTGACCCCAGTAGTTCATGGCTACAGTGAGCTATGGTGAATAGCTATATTCCAGCCTGGGTGACAGAGTGAGACCCTTCCTCTTGGGGGGAAAATGAATGGCTTTATTAGCTTTATTTTACATGTCATAGAAGTTTTCTTTATCCCTAATATTATGAATCCTCCCTCAACCCTTCCATATTTAACAATTATCAGTAATAAACTAACCACAGAGATGAAGTCTGTCATCTAAACTTTTTGTGTTCTTTTCATGCTTGCCCAAAGGGTGTGCTGTAATCTACAGATCAGAATGTGTACCTTAAAAGAGGACAGACTCTGAGACTTATGAAAAAGACTGTCCCAGGCACTTCAAACAACTGATACTTCAAGAATAGTCTTGGCAGAAAGTTCTAAATTAGTGTTGCTTTGACAAACATCGTTTGACTAAGATTTCTAGGACTAGTCCTTGTAAGAAGCAGGCAGAATTATCAAAGTAGATACCTAACAGAGCCAATAAACAAGAATTAGCTAAGTATTGAAGAAGCTAATGGAAAAATCTAATTGTGGTCATTCATTTGAAATACTGTTAACATCATTTTAATGTTCTATTTACTGGTTATATCAGCAAGCCTTTCTCTTAAGCTAGCTGTGACCCAGCAATTTAGTAGCCTCTGCTTTTGCAAACTAAAATGAAAGATTTAAAAATATTATCTGCTCCTACTTTCTGCTGACACACCACTCAACCCAAATTCAGAAACTCTATACTAAGCCTCCTTACTTTTCAGGGAGTTATCAGCATCTATTCAATAAGAATCTGTCCTCTCTCTTTTATTAGGATATAACTAGACAAGTTAATAATGCTACTAAGGGGCAGTGCCTGTGGCTCAAAGGAGTAGGGCACCGGCTTCATATGCCAGAGGTGGCGGGTTCAAACCCAGCCCTGGCCCCAAACTGCAAAAAAAGAATGCTACTAAGGTCTTACTTGAACTTCATATTTCAGAATGGCATGGTAGATAGAACAAATGTTGGTTTTCTTTATGGAACCAATGCTTACAAAGCTGGTCCAGGTTGTAAGG